ACAATTTTGTGTTTTTTGTTAATTTAAATATAAACGTTACAGTGTAGATCTCCACGGATTAAATTTTCTGTAGATATTCAGTTTGGCTTCACTCTCTTCACTCAACCTACAGAAGACTATTTGTTTTTGTGAATTGAAAAATGAAAAATACGCATAGTTGGATCAACTATGTGTTATGACAGGGGATGCTATGACCTACTGCAGTTATAGGCCAATTCACCGTAGGTTTTTATATACAGGAGACTGAGTGAAATATGTTTTTGTGAATTTATATAAAGTCACATTTAGATATTAACTATATTTAGCCCATTAGACATGCAGTACCGTGTAATAATATGGATCCTCGATGAAATATCTGCTGTACTATTCTATTGGTCATCATACAGCTACAAAACAGTGTCCTACACAGCATTTTATGAAGACAAACACAATTTATCCCTTTTCTAAAATTCCATGGGCCATTTAGAAGATATAGACAATATTGTTGTTCACAAAAAAATATTTATTAACAGCATTTATGAATTATGATGACTCCCCTATGGTTTGCCACTCTTCTTTAACTGTTTTTTTTTTCTTTAACTGCTCCTGCTCACTGATGAAACATTTAAAAATGAAACATTAAAAAAGTTTAAAAAGGACATCCATGGTGAATTTGACCTTGTCCCTGTGTGTGTGTGTGTGTGTATTTCTTTAAGTAGCTAAAGCAAACACACCTTTATGAGATCCAAGTTAAAGAGAACTTGTAAATACAGAGTATGATAAAACCCACATTAAGTGCACATACCCTACATTTGAGTCCAGATCAGTAAGCTATTTTAAGAAAAAATGTATATTAAGATATAAATGAGATAATTAGATCATCTCATTTATAAGAAACAACTCAAACCAGAATCTAGATTCAAACCATATGGGGAAAGTTTTTAATGTGTTTTAACGTATTTGAGTGAGTGTGCAGTTTAACTCTTTACTTAGAGAGAGAGAGAGAGAGATTTACATATTATAAATGTGTCTTTTGTGTGTTCACACCATAGACTGTAAAAAAATTTAACATATTTCCATTATCTACTGTAATATTGCTCTATAAACCACGTGGAGTATGTTTTAATGCAAGGAGTAAACAGAGTCTTACCAGAAGAGGCCAAGCTAAAGACAGGCAACAAAAGAAAATTAAAATTAAAATTTTAATTTTAAATTGAGTAGAGAAGATAGGGGAAGCTAAACCTACACGTGGTTAGTTAAGTTTAAGCCAGATAGAACAGAAACCTGTCAAAATACATTATAGACCCATCCATTGATATATAAATGAATTGATATCTACCTACCGTAGCTCTATCGAGCTAATCATTTATAAATAATAAATGTTGCATCATTGCTAAAAAACAATAACTTTAGCAGATTATTTAATATACAAATGACAGAATCTATTTTTGTCCGATTTTAATTCTAACGATGTTAAACTTGATTATACGGTATTATTAATTTGTCTTCAGGGTAAGTTTCATCTTCATAAAGACAGAACCATTCAAAGTAATCCTGATTCTAGAATATTCTCCTCTGATATAAAGTTCATTTTTTTCTTCCTTTAAGAAAATGTCAGAACCTTTAAACTCAAAGGTTTATAAAACAAATAATATCATTGAGTCTGTTGTAAAGAACCTTACATGTTTTTATATTGACAAAATGTAATATTGCATTGATTTGTGTAACCTAATTCAATCTCTTTTGATGTCCGTTTAGCCCCCTTGTTTTTTTGTTAAACAGATAATTTAATCCGTGCAGATCTACACTATAACGTTTATACTTAAATGAACAAAAAACACAAAATTGTCAAGTCTATGGACGGCTTATTAAGCGTCGATTTAATGATGTTATTTCGCAGTAAATCCCTCTACTGGACGCATCAGGAACAACAGGGTCCTAAAACTGCCGGGGCGTAAAACTGCCAGGGCCGTATATCTGCCGGCTCCAAGGCTGCGTCCGAAACCGCATACTCAATGAGTAGGTACTTAATTTCAAAAAGTACTTACTTAACGAGCGCTAAAAGAGTAGGTACTTTATAACCAAATCTCGTTGAGTATGAATGCGATCCGGACATCATCCGCCATGTTGACGTTATCATGTGACCTACGACGCGTTATCATAAGCGCAACAACTTCAAATATTTAATTCATCTATCTGTAAATATCTTGATATTGGTGAAACTTGCTAATTTTGTGGTAGTATTGTTGAAGAAACAGCTGCCAATTTATTTTGTGAATACATTTAGGGTTGATTTAAGTTGTTATATTTTAAACCCTATGTGACCCACAGTAAACCTTATACCGATATATTTTTTTATTAAGAAACCCCCAAATCGTCATCCCTTGAATATGTTGTTCATTTCTTTATTTTATATCCAAACATTTTCATCCACAAGCAAAAGGGGCTTTATACTGCTTTTTCTTGTTGAATTTAACTCTCGTTTCATCCCTCAGGCCTATAAATAACAAAAAAAAGATTTTTTTAAATGTATTAATGAATTATTTAAGAATATATATATATATTAAGATATTCAACCTTGTAGGTTCTTTTTTCTTCTGTATAACATCTCATGTTATATGCAAACCCATGATATATGGGTTATATATATCATGGGTTTGATATCATAATATGATATATATATATATATATATATATATTGCATACATAATATATACAGTATATATATATATACACACCTCATTACATCAGTAACTCGACAGCCCTACCTAGAACGATTTTCCTCAGCGTTTGTAATGTCTGCACAAAGGAGACGTTGGGCAGCTGTGTGAAGATTCACCTTTGGAGAAAACTGTTGCTTTTATACCCGTATCATTAATATTAAAAAATAATATTACCCCAGAATGTATTGCATTGCTATCCCACCCCAAAACATACAATAATACCAACGATAAATGCTGACCAATACTTAATTATATTACTTTTTACTGAAAATGATATAATTCAATAAAACAAACAATAATGTATGTCATATGACATAGCTATGCATGAATACACTCTAGATGTGTATATAGTGAACATATCTACATTTTCATTCAAACAATTAATTAAACAATTAATTAATTAAATATATTTTATTTACTGACAACAATGAGAAATATTAATAAATTAGTAAAAGAATGAATGAAAGTCATCACACAATAAACAAATGCATATTCAAGTCAACACATGAAACAAAGCTTTATTCAAACTACAATCATGTATGTAGGCTACAGGCGCTGAACCCCACATACTGCCATCTCAACACAGCGGTTCCCATTCAGCGGCTTTATTCTGATGAATCAGCTGACCGCCAGAGGTGAGCCGTTCCTTCGTGCCGGAGGTTGTTGCGTGATGTGTTGTGCTTCCCAATCTGAGGAAATAAGGGCAGGTGGAGTGATGGAGGGACTCATCCATGGCACCATTTCCAGGATTCAGCTCTGGGCTCCTCATCCTCAGTGCTCACACCAGTCTGCTGACATTTCAGATCCTACAAAAATGCACAAACATAACACAAAAGCAGTCATTTTAACAGCACAATGTCATTTGATTTCAGTATTATTTAGAAGACAAAAATGCTTTTCACAAATGCCGCCATCATCTTTCCTTGCAGGTCCTACTCCGCCACAAAAGCTGTGCAGCAAATCCACATAAATCAAGAATCAGAAAAGTGCTGTAATAGCATTGTTTGAAATTACAATAATTAAAATAAACTACAACTTAATATTTAAATAGTTGTTGTTCTTCATTTCTGTAGTATACTCACTCAAAGCCTTTAATGGCTGCATTCATCAGCATCATGAGCCACTCTCCACTTGACACACACACATGTTCTTCTGTCCCTGTAACATCCTGACAAGATTCACATAACCTCTGTGATTTATGAGCTCAACACTACATTTACATGTTGAGGTTGTTTAAACTTTTTATCCAACATAAATGTTCCTCAATTTATCAACAGTACTATGGACAAATAAAATAGATAACGTGTGTTTAGTTATAGATTTGTTCTACATAATAGCACACATACATCACTCAGATGTCTATTATATGTTGTGATGTGCACTTCTGCAATACTTATTGAAGATTTTCCTGTCAGATGTAAATAGACATTTAAAATAAGCGTCTTTAAGATGTGTGGTTTATGTAAATCCACTTTAGAGACGTAACTTAAGTGTCGATCCTTACTGGAGCTCCCCTGATAGCGATACATAATAAAACGTGTTTTAACAACAAAATCACAACTATACTATACTGTCTAATGTCTTTACACCTTCAACAATTCAACAGTTTACTGTACAGTAGTTCAACACATGCAATTTTAACACAAGGGACCGTGTTTACTCACATTTGAAAACCCCGCGTCGCTGATCTCCGCGATTGTTGATAATGACGTATGCTCTCGCGTGGCCTCCTGGGATAGATGAGTATCCACAGTATCCATCGGTTGAGCACTCGAAAATCTGTGCAGAAGCAGTAAGCCATCCGGGAACTTCTCGCCTACTCTTTTATGAATACTGATGTTTCGGACATACTACTCCTTTCACGTACTGTTTTCGCCTACTATATAGTAGGAAAGTAGGCATATTCGAACGCACTAAAGGTATACGTACGTCCGAATCTCGCGATAATTAGTACGTCACCCAGGTATTTCTCGCCTACTCTTTTATGATTCGTACATACTTTTCGCTCGCCTACTCTTTTTCCCATACTATATAGTAGGGAAGTATGCGGTTTCGGACGCAGCCCAAGTCTGCAGCCTCCCCCTACTCATGAATTGCAGACTGCAGTTTAAGTCACTTCCGTGTTGGTTTCAAGAGAGAGACAGGAAGGTGACCGCTGATTTGAACACAGCCATGTGTGACGCAGAATGTACGGAAACTTGGAGATTCGCTGATTTACAAATCATCACACAGCTCATGGACGGTCGCTGTTTTTATATATATGTCATAATATGTGTTAAAGGCGCAGTGACTGTTATATCAAATTAAAGCGCAGTAAAGATGGCAGCGTTAGCAGTTGTGGAAACCCCATCAGGGAAAGATGCGCTCGCGGAGGGAATGCTGGACCTCTTGAGACCCGCGGTAGAGCAGCTTGACTTACATGTGCACTCAGTCAGGTAGTATATTTTGGGAAACCAAACCCTTTAAAACCCTAGAAATGTATAATTTACAATAAGCAGTTCTGTTTGCTAGTATGCTAATCACTGTCAACATGACAGGTCTTGTGACTCAGAGTCAGAGATGCTGTGACCATATAAAATGTAAAACAATGACAGTTAATTGTTTGTTACTGTAAGCAGTTTCGCACGATTTATGCTTTTAAGATATGATTCTTAGTAATTTATTTTAAAGTGTGCATAAATATGGACAGCTATATCGTTTACTATATACTGCAAATTTATCTTCACAGAGAAAGCCAAGTGGAACTTAGGGAACACATTGATAATTTGGCATCTGGTAAGTCATGACGTGATTATGCATTTGCAGTTTTTCTCGGTCGCTTTGGTTTAATTCTCAAATTAGATTGTTTTATTTAAAAAAATAAATAAAATAAATTCAGATCTCTGAACAATTAGTAAATGTTAGTTAACACCAATTTGAATTTCTTATCCATTTAAGAAAATTGCATGTGTTTTGACACTTGTGCAACACAGTAAGTAAGTACAATTTGCACAAAAACTAAATGCACATGGAGTTGATTCTCTGAAATTGTCATAATCTGCGCAACTTCTAAACCTTCATTTATTGTGTGAGCCATCAAATGCAAAATGATCCATTCAGTTATCAAAAATTGGTCAGTCATACATGTATATTCTGTGAATATTTATAACATGGCGTCATTGTGATGTCTGCTTAAATGACATGCCTTAGTAATGAAATGGTAATCACAATCTTACCAATGAAGGTTTGAAGCATAGCTAGAGCTTGCCTGGATGTCATTTTTTTTTTTCTCTCCAGTATATATATATATATATATATATATATATATATATATATATACACTCACCGGCCACTTTATTAGGTACACCTGTCCAACTGCTCGTTAACACTTAATTTCTAAGCAGCCAATCACATGGCGGCAACTCAGTGCATTTAGGCATGTAGACATGGTCAAGACAATCTCCTGCAGTTCAAACCGAGCATCAGTATGGGGAAGAAAGGTGATTTGAGTGACTTTGAACGTGGCATGATTGTTGGTGCCAGAAGGGCTGGTCTGAGTATTTCAGAAACTGCTAATCTACTGGGATTTTCACGCACAACCATCTCTAGGGTTTACAGAGAATGGTCCGAAAAAGAAAAAACATCCAGTGAGCGGCAGTTCTGTGGGCGGAAATGCCTTGTTGATGCCAGAGGTCAGAGGAGAATGGCCAGACTGGTTCGAGCTGATAGAAGGGCAACAGTGACTGAAATAACCACTCGTTACAACCGAGGTATGCAGCAAAGCATTTGTGAAGCCACAACACGCACAACCTTGAGGCGGATGGGCTACAACAGCAGAAGACTCCACCGGGTACCACTCATCTCCACTACAAATAGGAAAAAGAGGCTACAATTTGCAAGAGCTCACCAAAATTGAACAGTTGAAGACTGGAAAAATGTTGCCTGGTCTGATGAGTCTCGATTTCTGTTGAGACATTCAGATGTTAGAGTCAGAATTTGGCGTAAACAGAATGAGAACATGGAACCATCATGCCTTGTTACCACTGTGCAGGCTGGTGGTGGTGGTGTAATGGTGTAGGGGATGTTTTCCTGGCACACTTTAGGCCCCTTAGTGCCAATTGGGCATCGTTTAAATGCCACGGCCTACCTGAGCATTGTTTCTGACCATGTCCATCCCTTTATGGCCACCATGTACCCATCCTCTGATGGCTACTTCCAGCAGGATAATGCACCATGTCACAAAGCTCTAATCATTTCAAATTGGTTTCTTGAACATGACAATGAGTTCACTGTACTAAAATGGCCTCCACAGTCACCAGATCTCAACCCAATAGAGCATCTTTGGGATGTGGTGGAACGGGAGATTCGCATCATGGATGTGCAGCCGACAAATCTGCGGCAACTGTGTGATGCCATCATGTCAATATGGACCAAACTCCCTGAGGAATGCTTCCAGCACCTTGTTGAATCTATGCCACGAAGAATTGAGGCAGTTCTGAAGGCAAAAGGGGGTCCAACCCGTTACTAGCATGGGGTACCTAATAAAGTGGCCGGTGAGTGTATATGGTAGGGCAAGGCTACATCTAGGAAATGTGTAGAAATGGACTTGCAATTGTGAATTTTCTGTTTACAATATTGACTTTTCCCAGTAAACTTTTACGTACTGTTGAAATCTGTTGAAAAGCTCAATGTGATACAGAATAGCATTCAGTTAGACAAAACGTACATTCTTGTATAGAAATATTGTATAGTAAGTGGTCATTGTCAACAAAAGATGAAAAAACATCCAAACATTTTGACCAGTATGGTTCACATGATGATACATAAAGATTCATTTTGGTGGCTTTGTTCAATTTCCTTTGAAGCATGAATGAAATGTTTTGGGTGAGTTACTACATTTTGCAGACATGCGATAGAGTTGTGATGTCCCATAAAACAGTTGTGACAATTTCACTTACAGTTTAGAGAAAGGTATTACTGTTTGTTATGATTACGAGTTTACGACTGACTCTTTTGTCATAATGTAAGAACGAGTTCTGCAGAATTCATGAATATTATATCATCTCATGAATGCTATGTGTGCACATTTCTTCTGCAGAGTTGTGTAGGATCAATGAACACCAGAAGGTGGCACTAGACTTAGACCCATATGTTAAAAAACTTCTTAATGCCAGGCGAAGAGTGGTGCTTGTCAATAACATACTCCAGAATGCACAGGTAATGTTGGATATAAAACATCAGTCATGCACATTATTGTCCTGTGTTTTCTACTTCATCCTCTCAAATGTTTGTTTCAGGAACGTTTGCGGAGGTTGAACCATAATGTTGCTAAGGAGACCGCACGAAGGAAGACCATGCTTGAGGCATCAGGAGCATTTACCCCACGCTCTCCCAGCAAACCATGATGTCCTGTTGCTCACATTTTGAGAATGCACCATTACACTGTGCTCAATGTCAAGGACCAACGCTGTAGATTCACAGAATCTTCCTCACATTGTTAAAGGGCACTGGGCTATGCAAAGCACTGCTACAGCAGAATTAATGTCAATTCATTTAAGAGTAGTCAGGGAGACAGCAGTGTATATATGCACTCATTTCTTTGTTCAACATATGACTTCTTGAATAAAACGTTTTGTCTATATGAATGTAACTGATGCTGAGAAATGCTCTTATTGCAATGCTCTGGATTTCCTAATTATTTGCAAATTTATAAAATTAATTATCATTAATTTCAGAGATAGTATCCAGTTTAATGTACCAGATAAGGAAATCTCATCTTCCCAGTCTTGATCTAATCAGTGGAAGCAGATTATAGTTAAAATTTTTTGCTCACATGTGGAAACAGTATAGTGAATTATTTTCTTACCATATCTTTTTTTTGGGGGATGGGGGGTTATATGCAAGCTTGTTTCTATCACATAATAATAGAAAAAATACTAAATGTTTTTGGGACTTTTTATCTTACAGTTCTATTTTTTTCTAGTTTATACCTCACAATTCTGACTTTATAACTCGCGATTGCGAGTTTATGTCACAATTCTGAGAGATAAGTCATAATTGTGAGATGTAACCTTGCAATTGAGAGATAAAAAAGTCAGACTTGTGAGATAAAGTCACAATTTGGGTGAACTATCCCTTTAAAAAAAACATAGAAAACAATTTAAACATTTAAAACTTGTACAACTTAAAATAGGCATTGCTAACAGCCTTCAGTAGACTAAATACTATTCATTGATGTTGATTTTATTATTAATTTAATAATAATAAATATAGAAGTGTCATAATTACACATAGATTGAGGTTTCAAATTACAGACCAAGCCAATATAAGTGTTTAGAAATACAATTTGATGGAAAAAATGAACTTCCCCAGAATCCATAGCATTGCATTGCATTATAATTGAATCAGCAGTAAAATCTTAGGTATGCACATGTCTTATGTTAATAGTGGATGCTTTGTAAGAGGATATCAGAAAGGGCAGATGAAGGCGACCTCTTGTTTTAGCTGAAAGGGAGAGGGTTAGGAAAAGATTTCAGGACAGGTGAAAGGTCAAGGGAGGGAATCTCTCAAGGAGGAAGTTGGAATTAAACGAGGGGCCTCCTAAAAGTTGCTTTGTTGATGAGAGATTAAACACAGATTGCTGGAAATCAAGTAAAACGAAATAGTAAAGGCCATTTGGAGTCTGTTTATATTTGATGGTGACTGCATAGGCAAACTAGACTAAAAGATAACTGCATGCTGTATGTTGTTCCTGAAAAATATAGCTGATCATGGATCATCTGACCTTTTGTACAAGTGTCTTCACATGCTTAATGTTACAAATTTGTTCATACATATTTATAATATTAATTTTCACAGTATAAAATTAGTCTTTATAGCCTATATGAAAATATATAGCTGCCTTTTAAGTTTTAGGATGGGGGGCCCTCGGACCAGGATGATTTGGGTGCCCGTGGCATCGAAAAAACCCCAATATAACCACAATCTTATTTTATTTCTTTGTTTTATAATTCTACAACGTTGTTTTTTTTTTCAGGTTTAAATGAACGAAATCAAGGATTTTCAATATGGTCTCAAACCATTGGGCCCCATTGCATATATTTCAGTCCTTTATTAAAACTGACTAAAGAATATGATACAAGTTTTCTACTGCCTATTACATGCCCCACTGGGGAGCTAGTGTAAAAGTAGCCATCACTGGCTGTTGTAAATTTCAATCATCGATGGAAACTGAGCAGGGATAAATGGGGCGGGGTGAGTTGATATGGGGCGGAGTAATCTCAGCGGCGCCACCTTAAAAAAACAGTCGCGCCGATATGTCAATCCAGACGCGACCCAGACAGACCTCGGCCCGGGGGCCCAGCCGTGAGAGCCGCGCCGTGATTGGATGAGCGCCGCCGTCCTTTTGAGACTCGGTATCTTATTGGTTGGAGCCGGACGAGACGCTCACGCGCACAATGTCTACCCGCTTTTGTTATTGTAGCGAGCGCGAGGAGAGCGGCAGGATGCGCGGACGGAGACAGCGAGCCTGATAGTCCGGTATCGACTCAAATTAGATGTTGGAGGGGGAAGGGGACGCGGATTTCTACCTCTCCGTCCTTGTTCAGAAGGCTGCTTTTTGCAATTCTCTAACAATACGACCGATGTGTGAGTATTTTTTTGTACACGTATGTGCTTATTTGTTAATTTTTAAACGCACGCTGCACCATTCGAGACCTTATTGGAAACTGATCAGGACTGTCGATTTGGCGATACATTTCCCTCGTTTAAAACATATATTACGTCAAAGGTGTGCCTTCTCGTGTCGTAATAATTCATCTTTGCCCTTGTCTGAGCTTTGAAATATCTCGTTGCTGTCTAGCATTTGAATACTGTCTCGAGCCACTGACATATGATGTCCACCTTCTCACTGCAAGTTCACGACCAAGAGTCTGTTCCTTCAGCAGTTCACCTTGATTTTATTGATCCGAATTCCGACTAGTTAGTTGGAATGCACAAACGGGTTGCATGTCATCTCAACTGTGCTCATATCCAACGGGAGCTCGTGAAATGTTTAGACGGCGGGCTCGATGACGTCATGTGACCAAATATGGCATCTGCGCCGCTGCATTTGTTTGCCCGCAGAGCAGTCAACAGTTTGGCTTTAACTTTGAATTACATTTTTTATAAATACTAACTGTTATTCTACAGTAAGGGGGGATGTCTTGGCTAAGGTTTTGTATAGTTTAAGCATTAGGGCTCTGTTCATCTCCTTTAGAATTAGGCCTTAGTGCTATCATTGTATTTCACATAATACAGATATTTATGCATGTTACATCTGTTGATCAGAGTCAGTATCTTATGATGGGATCATAAACCTTGGGGTTACATCATACTATAGCTGATATATAAAGCAAGGACTGGGTCTGAATGTCCTCTAATCAGGCCGCCATGCCGGCTTTACTCAAGCACACTGTACTATATATGATGTAATAACAGAGTAATACACCCAGATACGAAGAAAGGAATAATGCATGACTGTGTCAGTCAAGACTAAGAAGAAGCCCCTTTCTCAAATATTACAGTGTATGAAATCCGTTACTTCATCTAAGAGTATTGTACATTCTGTCTTAATGTAAAGTTGTTCCTCTGGCGCTCATGCCTCAAGGGCCACTTGCGCAGACATGGAGAGCATCACTGAGTCTGATAATAAGGGTCTCAGAGAAGCTCCCCCCAGATTAGAGTTGATGATGCTCAGAGATCTGAAGTGCCAGGATCCGTCAGCGCTCCACCAGCTCTCAATTACTGCACTCCAGAAATCTTATACACTTTTGCACTTGCAACATCTCATGCTAAGATCACAGGGGTTTTTAGCAGCTCCATGAAATTCTGCTTCTTGTGTACAAAATACGAATTTAAATCAATCTTAAGTCGCTTATGGCATATGCATAAAGGGTTTTTGGATATTAAAACGCTTTCTCCTATCCCAGTTTATTGTGCAAAGAGAATATAAGTAAGCTATTTGTTGGTTGGATTGCTCCCCGCTGTAAATGCTGTTGCTTTTTGGCTCTTTCAAACATTGCCTGCTATTTTTGGACTTGCATACTAATCTACTACTACTCAAACTGTTACTGCTGTATATACAGTATGTATACTGTGCAAAGTATGCACTTTTTCTTTATGTATACATGAAGCAGATAACCTATTATGTTGTCAAACATGTGCAGTAATATGACAAAGCACACTGCATTATGGAATACTCAATACTGTATCCCTTAGTCCAATACACTCGACTTGGCCTTCCATAACAAATTATCTCTTTTTTGATCAGACTGCTAAAAGTAAAGACATTTTACAAAATGTAATTTAAAATACAAAATTACAGAGTCCCACACATGACACAGGGGGGGAAAAAACAAGATTGAGCTAAAATGAGGGAAAAAATAGGCCTAAGTAAAACTTGGCCACAATTTAACATAATGAAAACAAGGAAACAAATACAGTACAGTACGATTTAATTAAAACGAGGGAACGAATTTGTACAAGGAGGCCATGTTTTAACTAAAATGAGGGAACAAATTATTACAACATGACCGCTATTTATTTAAAACGAGGGAACAAATGTGTACAAGGGGGCCACGTTTTAACTCAAATGAGGGAACAAATTGTTACAACGTGACTACTATTTAATTAAAACGAGGGAACGAATGTGTACAAGGGGGCCACAGTTTAACCAAATGAAAAAGAAGGGGGAACAAATTCATAATTTGTGGCCATGTTCTTTGCTCTGTATAAAAATAACCTAATAATCTATTACCAAGATGAAAACACAATGTCACTTACATGCAAGGCAATGATCATTTAAAATAAATTTTATCTATTTTTTGACAGGTTTACCATGGTGCAATTCCCACTGTTTTGAAATCTATATTCAGCAAATAGTTGGCAGTATAACGTACTATATGTGTATTATATATATATATATATTACAAGGGATTTATAATGGATACATTATAAGGCATTGTACCGCTAATTTCCACGAAGCATTACTACAGTTCTGACTGTGTGTTAGCATACTACATGCAGTCTGTAAGAGTATTGTGTATTGATGCTGCTGTTCTGTTTCCCCATCTGTCAGAGCAGCAGGATGTCCGTGAACCCTCCCAACAGTAATGACGCCTGCCTCAGTATCGTGCACAGTCTCATGTGCCACAGGCAAGGCGGCGAAAACGAAGGCTTCGCTAAGCGTGCCATCGAGAGCCTGGTCAAGAAACTGAAGGAGAAGAAGGACGAGCTGGACTCCCTCATCACCGCCATCACCACCAACGGAGTCCACCCCAGCAAGTGCGTGACCATCCAGAGGACGCTGGACGGACGCCTACAGGTGAACCACAGTTACAGTAATTGACGTTGAACCATTAACATTTGCTTTAATGCTCTTAGAATTGAATTGCAGGGATCCCTCCAAATGTTAATGCTGAATGAACTGAATGGATGAGTCATTTCTTCATTTGGCAGATTTTGTTCTTGTCTGCTTTACTTGGTGTTAGATAGGTTTTTCAGACATGGACCGTATAGCTGTTTAGGTTGTTATTCTGTCATTGTGTTTGATTGGACATGACACAGTGGCAAAGGTGTTTTTAGAGTTTCATGGGACCTGTTCAGTCAGCATGTGTATTTGTCACAAGGCAAAAAACTAGCAATAGACTAATACATTTCCCAAGCTGATTATTTGGTATATAACCAAATAACCTTGCCCTCTTCCCTGCTTGTTTCCGCTTGTGTCCGTTCCGAGTGCTGTCAATGAATAATGCACACTTTTTGTTTTAGAAAAAAAAAAAATGTGAGTAAATATAACATAATAATAAATAAACATCCCATACACACCCAAATGGTTTCAACCTTTCAAGAAATACAATATATCATGGAGATCAACATTTCGGTCAAGCTTCCTTTGTTTCATTGATTCTTAACAGTTTTCTAACAATCTATGGCAAATTGTTTCTAATTTGAGTAAATATTAAAATTCTAATTTGGCATAAAATTGTATAACACTACCATTCAAAGGTTTGGGGTTGACAAGGCTGCAGTGCATTTATTTGATGAAAAATACAGTAAAAACAGTAATATTGTGAAATATTAAAAAAAAATCTATTTGAATAGAATTTGGTGGCAAAGCTGAATTTTCAGCATCATACCTCCTGTCTTCAGTGTCACATGATCCTTCAGAAATCATTCTAATATGCTGATTTGCTGCTCAAGAGACATTTCTTTTTTTTTTTTTATCAATGTTGAAAACATTGTGGAAAAAACATTGTGAAAACATTTGTGGAAACCATGATACATTTCTTTCAGGATTATTTGATGAATAGAAAGTCCAAAAAAACTATGTTTATTTGAAATAGAAATCTATAAATGTAACATTATAAATGTCTTTACTGTCACTTTTGATCAATTTGAATGCATCTAAGTATTATTTTCTTTCAAAAGCATCTAACCAATCCTGAATTTTTGAATGCTAGTGTATGTTGGTATTATATTGGTCATCAGCAGCACACAGAACTTCACAGAACCACACATAGAACTTATTTTGATAGATAATGCAAGTTATCATCGTTAGAAGTGTTTAAATCCATACCACAGACCCCCCCCCCCCCCCCCCAAAAAAAGACGGCACAGAAAATGCGAGAAAGTTTGTAGATTCTGTCTAAGATTCATCGTCGGTCCTGCTCTCTAGATATCGTTTTTTGGCATCGGCCGTTTAAAAAACCCATATCGGTCAACCACTGTGTAAACTCTTCCCTCTCCCTAGAAAAACGTTCAACATTGTTCACACAATTGTGTTCCCCCTAATCTATTTGTGAATCCTGCGATAAATAAAGCTAGACAATGTAAATAATCAAGGCATTGTCCATTGAATAAACTTGTGATTGGGTGTTGCTTTGGGGCCCAACGCTAATCAAATCCACACCACCCACATGTGAACATACGGCTTTCATATGGGAGACTGATGCGGTCGAAGCTTCAACAATTCTAATAGCTTCCTTCCTGATAGTACGCATCAGTGTCCATGGATACTAGATGATTGACAGCAGCTACAAAGAGAGACATTCATCACAAGGCCTTTTGATTGTAAACCTCAACAACCTCAAAGTTAAAGTGGTGGTTTATATGGAGTAAGGACGATGTCTGCGCAGTTTCCCCACCCTTTCGTATGGGCAGATTTAGAGGGAGGGGTGGAGGAGAGGTTGTGAAGGTTGTTTTGTCTAAAACACAGGAAAGGGGCCGGGTTAACTTAAGGCCGTCTATTTTTTCCTCTGTGTAGAAGGGCTGCTGGTTGATAGTACGCTCTATTCTTTACACACAAGATGTGATGATATCTAGGCAACACAAGTGAAGAAACTGTGTATGTGCAGTAATAGAGAACCTGATGCAGTAAAACCGAACTACTGAGCGAGACGTAATGTGTTACCTTTTTTGACCTTGCCAGAGACAGTGGGCCTCATTAATAAACTGTCCTACATGCGTGCGATTCAGAGAACGAACGTACGCACAAAAAAAAAAACGGATTCTTTGATAGATGTGAAATCATCGCAAATGATCTTGAAATTGTGCGCAGTTGAATGGTTTCAGATCTCCGCCTAATTAATGTCATTGACATATAAAAGAGCACCAGTCAAAGTCAAAATCCTTTACTTGAGAGTGGCAAATACCTGCAGTACTCCGACTCTTTGCCTCAAGGAAAAGTGCGTACGTCTGCTTAGACCCTGACGTGTGTCGCTAAGCACTATTTCATGTCTAAGACCGTTTTTATAAATATGAACGTTTGCATGGATTTTAGCGTAAACACACTCTAAGATCAAATGTGTGCATCCGCACGTTTTATAAATGAGGCCCAGTGAGACCAAAAAAGAGAGTAAAATAGCTGTACTATGTACGCATAACATGCTCAACCACATGCAAAGCCCTTGATTATAATTTTAGTGTTTGATATTACATTTAAAGGAAATATAATATAGTTTAAATGTACTAAATTGAAACTTATATTTGTAATCACACATTTTTTAAAAGATTATTTAAATCCATGACATTAGTTTCATTAGAAATTACATTAAAATATATTTTAGTTTACCATAAATGCTTGTCAGTACATTCGGGAGTACTTGTTTCAAAGACAACAGAAGTAATTATGAAATTGCATATAAAGATGTACTTAAGTCCTACGTGGGACCCCTTAAGTGGGTCAAAAACACTTTGAAGTTCAGTTAAATGCATTCAACATAGATTTAAACTGTAATACATTTTCTTGCAATTAACTTGCAATTAAGTGTCTTAAAAACATTACATTCAGTTCACACTTCAGTATATTCATTTAAACTAATAAGTACTATTTTTATTTTAAAAGTATGCTAAAGTCTACTTCTTTTTTGCAAGGGGCTGTTGACACAATAAAAGTCATAAGTCATGTCTTACACTGATTTGACCACATTAAGGTCTCTTTCTCATGTTCATATTGTTTGACATTGATATTTATCAAGATATTTCACACCATTAATGGGGAATGAAATGCATTCCATGTGTTTGTTCCACAAAGAATGAATTTAATCATGACTTTTATTAACTTTAAACTTAGATTTTCCACCCGATACATAGCTATCACTGTTGTTTTATCACCCAGCCCTACGTTAAGGGGATTTTAGGCACTCTGTAAAGCATCATGCCTAACAACATCCTATAACCGCAGTAAAATCACTAACATAAGAACGTGTTCACCAATGTTTGTCAGATGTGTTTCAATAAGTAGGTTTTCTAAACACAAATAGTAATTAATAACTTATATGTTTTTCTGAAATTCTGTTGTGTAAAGGAAGTCCACCTGGACCTCAGCAGCTCTCTTGTTCCCTCTGGGGTTTGAACCCTGGCCCTTTTGGTTACCAGCCCCACCACATTTCTGTCTTTGTTTCAGCCCGTCTTCAGTCCTAAATGGCACTGACAGCTGGAGTTATCCCTCTCCTCGGCTCTAGTATCATGCTACTAGCGCACAACTGTAGTGTCATGCCTTTAGTGTTAATCTACAACGGATTATCATATCACACACACGTCCTCCCTGCTGTTCTACTACACTAAACAAGCACAGGCAGCTGTGATACGGACTCAAAACTCAACACATGACCTTACGCTCACTGTGTTCAGGATCACGTGATGCTCTTTTGTCATATTACTGCATACCTGTCAAATAGCTGCTATGGAAAAACGTTTTGGTAATGTTGCTGTGTCCTTAACAGAAATATGACTGGCAGTGGCATCACAGTAGGTCATGTGATCCAATGTTCAGTACCTGATCTCGGTTTCAGTCTCTCTTGCCATTCAATAGACATAAGGACCAAAAATACAATTTAAAACAATGCTTATGCTAAGAAGTATGAGGAATCCGTTGTTAGCCAAAACTGCATTATATACCGGTAAATTGCAACTGCAATTTCAAAATCACTTGTATTTCACACAGTTTGAATATGCTACTGAACCAAATATGCGCTGAAACATGCTAATGTGTATTCAATACTTGAGGTTAAAAATACATAAATCTGACATTAAAATTAAATGCGCTGAACCAGAGTTGTTATTGTTAACTAGAACTAAAAAATAATCAAAAATTAGAAATGTTAACTGAAATAAATATATTTAAGTTAAATTGCTAAATTACTACAACTGAAATAAAAATTAATTAAAGCTATTTAGAAAACAAAACAATTACTAATAAAATAGAACAACAAAATTTTCTGAACTGAAAATACAGAAATAAAATAAATACTATAATAGTATATAAAAATACTAAAATAATGCTGTACTGATCAGAATTTAGTAATTCTTATTAGTGTTAGTATTAGTATTAGAGATTGTGCTGTTTTCCTTTAGTATTATTACACTATGTTGTACTCCTCATGAACATTTCTTTACTCTTCTCTTCTTATTTTTTTCTTTCTGCAGGTTGCCGGTCGTAAAGGTTTTCCTCATGTAATCTACGCACGGTTGTGGCGCTGGCCCGACCTTCACAAGAATGAGCTCAAGCATGTGAAATTCTGCCAGTATGCATTTGACCTCAAATACGATAATGTCTGTGTCAACCCTTACCATTATGAGAGAGTGGTGTCACCAGGCATCGGTGAGTCTGCGGTGAATCCTTTTATTCATCACCATGAACAAAGACATTACTGAGCTGTGTGCAGCACATTCTGTGTCTCGAAACTACAGTGTTATGCTTTTATTTATTTATTTTTAATCAGTGCAGGAAAACTTTGTTTGGTCAATTTGCAATATGATTTTCTCTTTTGTTTTCTCTTTTTTTTGCTCTTCTCAAGTTGGTCTCAGTCTTCAAAACACGGGTAAGTTACACACATTTGTCACTATTTTGTTTGAAGTAGTTTTTTTTTGTAACAATATAAACGTCTTTTAAATGTTAGTATTTTTTTTGTAACAATGTAAATATCTCTGAATGTTAGCATTATATATACTGTTTAAAATAAATGCTTGTTCTTTTGAACTTTCTATTTATCAAAGAATCCTGAAAAAAAAATGTATGGTGGTTTCCACCAAATCAACATATTAAAATAATTTCTGGAGGATCAATGAAAATTGATCTGTTGAAAATTCAGTTTTGCTATCACAGGAATAAATAATATTTTCAAATATGATAAAAAAAATTTAAAACTTGTAATGAATTATAATAATATTTCACAATATTTTTACTGTATTTTTGATCAAATAAATGCAGTTTGGCGAGCATACGAGGCTTTCAAAAACATAAATAAATCTCACTGACCCCTTTCTTAACAGTATACATATATGATTTAATTTATATTTTAATTTATTTAAAAAAATAATTTGGATCTTAATAAGAATGACAACATTACGCTTAAATAAACAGTAAAAAAGTTCTTACTATTCCGCACAGGTTCAAAAAAGATTTACTGATTTGATTAAGCCCCAAATGAATCAGTGAATTGTTAAATGAACCGATTCAGTAAAAAGAGCATAATTTGTCCTCTGGCTGGTGTCTAGGTCCCACTGGCAGACTGATAAAGGAAGAGTACAGCCACGACTGCATTCAGATGGACATTCCCCCATGCCTGCCTCCCCAGCAGGACCACCAGGGGGTGATGAAACTCCCCCCTCCGGACCACTACGGCCAGCCACTGCCTCCTCTACAGCTGCCTTCAGAACCCACCCGCGCACCCCCACCGGTCACCCTTTACTCTAATATGCCACTCTCCCCCACCGGTAAGTGCTGACCTTTGGCCATAGAGGACTCTGGGAGGTTAAATTGTGCAGTTGTAATAGCGTCGTTGTGTCATCTTCCAAACTCTCATGTCTTTCAGCTTCAGGCTCTATGATGCCTATGCAGGGAGGTCATGGTGAAGGCTTACTACAGATTGCATCTCCTCAGGGTCAAGTCATGACCCCTACACCTCCCCCCTCTACCCCCACACATGGACCCCCACAGACCCCCGTCCCACCCCAGCCTCCACCAAACCAGAATGGCTACAACGGCTCCAAACACTCCCAGACACAAAGCTCCTTTCACAGTAAATTACACTTCTCATAACCAGTCACAATGTCAAATGATAAATCCTGTTTATTTTAATGTGAGTTTTTGATCAGTGTGATTTATACACTATTATAGTATTAATCATATATTAAAACAGCTTTTTCTTACTTTATTTTTATTTATTTATTTATATATATATTATTTATTTTAATTAATGAAAATTTCTGTTTTTGTAGTCCTGCCCACAGTGAAATCTCATTGGTCCAAATCCCACAAAGCTGTATATTAACCTTCATTTAATATATTCTAATTGGCTGTGGTTTTGGAATGTTGCTTGGTATTTTCTTTTTCGGTGTAGAGTAGACAGATAAAATACTTGTCGAATTTTTACTGCTTCATATACAAACATTTTGAATCTCTATATTGCTGCAGCAACCTGGACAGGCAGCAGCACAGCCTCCTACACTCCTGTAGGACCCCAGCAAAATGGGCGTGGCCACCAACCTCCTCTCCACCACCCACACTACTGTACGTTTGCCTTGCACATTTAAGTGAAGTGTTCCTTGTAATGTTTATGTATGCAGATATACCATTATTTTATATAACTAATTGAATCCATTATAATATCTTCCTCTATCAGGGTCTCAACATCACAGTACAGCATCTTTCCCTCCTCCAGTCTCCAACCATCCAGGTTTCTACTTTATATAATCTCCACTTTATGTAAACAAAAAAGATTTTGCTTGAAAGAAATGAATACATCTATTCAGCAAGGATGCATTAAATTGATCAAACGTAACAGTAAAGACAATTATAATGTTACAAAAGATTTCTGTTTCAAATAAAAGCTAGTCATCTGAGAATCCTGAAAAGAAATGAATCACGGTTTCCACAGAAATATTAGGCAGCACAACTGTTTGCTACATTAATAATAAGAAATGTTTCTTGAGCAGCGAATCTGCATATAAGAATGAGTTCTGAAGGATCATGTGACACTCAGCTGAAAATTCAGCTTTGCATCACAGGAATAAACTACATTTTAAAATATAGTTCTTTTAAATTGTAACAATATTTTACTGTTTTACTATATTTTGATCAAATAAATGCAGCTTTGGTTCGCATAAGTGACTTTTTTCAAAAGCATTAAAACGTCTCTCTGACCCCAAACTTTTGAACGGTTTTGTTCTATTTATGCTCTCAGACTTAATACAGTTCAATATGCAATGCATCAACAGGTCCTGAGTTTTGGTGTTCCATCTCGTACTTTGAGATGGACGTGCAGGTTGGAGAGATGTTTAAAGTGCTGTCCAGCTGTCCGGTGGTGACGATTGACGGGTATGTGGATCCCTCAGGAGGTGACCGCTTCTGCCTGGGTCAGCTTAGTAATGTGCACCGCACAGACGCCAGTGAGCGGGCCAGGTATGTGTGCCGCAATCCAACAACTGTTGCAGTGAAAAAATATCTTAGTGTGGTTGTCAGAGCTTGGTGATATAATGAATATTTATGATTTGTGCAGTACTATTTTGTTGCAGATATAAAACCGGCATTGTGAATATTACAATTTGAACGTGCTTTTTATTTAGCTATGAAGTTTTCTAAAGACCAGTGCCGGTAGATTAGTTTCATATTCTTTTATCACAACTTTAGAGTGTGAAAGTGCTAAAAATGTAGTTTTAATGGCATTAAAATAGAGAAGGTAATTATTGGTGTTAGTATATACAGACAGTTGTCAGCTATTAAAGAAAGACATTTTTGGACGAGAAGGAGACACGTGCTGCATCCGAAATGGCATGCTGTTTGAGTAGGTAGAGGGCTGGATTGGGATCTTAGTGGAGGCGGGGCTCATTTGCATATTCATGACTCGGCGTATGCGTATACTAAATGAAGCAAGGGTGTAGTTACAAGCCATTCAAGCTATTTTAAGCCGCGAATAAATAATGTTCACAGAAATGAAAACTTTTAAATATGCCATTTTGGTGATCAAAGGTGAATTTTAAGGGATACAATTATTGACTACAGGGGGACTTTAAATATATTTTTAGGCTCACTAGATGGGATGTTTTGTTTTAATAAAAAAGCTGGCTGAATGTGTTTATCATTTGTGGTGCTACCGTGCTAGCATTACTTTATCTTGTGGTCAGTGTAATTAAATGCAATTTCTGTTATTCTGAATGTTTAACATAGCCCTAATGTTGGTGTAATTTTTTTCACAATTTCTACAAGCTGTAACAGAATGTTTTGAGGGTGCGGGCGGGAGTGGAACACACACACGTTGCGGGAGTGGGCGGTAATGGTCAGAAATTCAGCGGGAGCGGGATTAAGAAAACAGTCCCGTGCAGGGCTCTAGTAGGTACTACATTTGAATTTTAATTTACTTCGCGACCATTAAGAAACTATGTTATATATATAGTATGAATGTGGGTACTAGTATGAATGAAATCCGGACGTACTACATCCGCTATGTTACTGTCATGTGACCTACCAGCGTCAGTTGCATCAGTTCACTGCCTTTCATTAATCCTCTCCCTTGACCTCACGGGATAGTAAAGTGTCCATTAAATGCACACTTCAGAATCTCGCCAGAAGTAATAGGTCATCCGGGGAGCTTTTGCTTACTGTTTTCGAATACTATTCATTCTGATACTTTATACTCTGTTGGCGTACTGTTTTCACATACTATGTAGTAGCAAAGTATTCGATTTTGGGCACAGCAACGATTAATACATTTTTTTTTGCTTTTGTGTTTTTTAATACTTAATCTTATTTATTTAATTTAGTTGTCAAGGCAATATTTCTAAACATTTTCAATATTTTCATTTAAGTTAAATTTTGTTCATGTAATATTTATATTTAATTTGATTTCAGCTTTATTTAAATTAATATATTTTTTAATAATTTTATTTTTACTTAATGACAAAACGGCTTGAATTAAATTACTAACAGTGGTGTTATTGTTTCCTAAAACTATTAAAATTAATTTTAGTTAATTGAAATAAAGCTGAATTAAAATGAAATATAAATATTAGATGAAAAGGTTACTTTTCAAAAAGGAACTGTTGCTTTGGCAACTAACTGAAATAAATAAGTTTTTGAAATAAGTACTAAAATGACTAAAAACTAATAAAAATCACAAAAGCACATATAAAAAATATTAAAACTTAAAAAGCTTAAATCTTTTTTTAAATAAAAGTTTAACCATGATATGAACCTTAATTAGAAAATGATGTGCATGTAATATTGTCTATGGTGGTTAATCTACTTGGCAGCAATGGCCAAGGTTGAAATTTTGGTTATTCTGTGGGAAAGGTATGTTGTTGTTTTTTTTTGCTGTAAATATTGTAAATATATTAAAACTCTTAATATCGCCAAAAGGCTGAAAAATATTAAGGTATACTGTCCAGACCAAATGGCTATATATATGTGTGAGTCTTTGTTTTGTGTATAGATGAATTTCACAGGTTTGATGTTTACCTTAACACGCTCTTGCAAAATCTGCTTACTGTGCCAGAATGACACTGTGATGAACAATAATAAACAAACAGATTATTCAAGGACAACAATCAGGAAATAACAGGTTTTAACAACCTGACAAAATAGAATGCAAGCATGTCAACAAAGGCGCATCTGGTTTTGGTTATGACACTCGGTGGTATGTGTTCAAATCGTGTTATGTAACTATTTGATGTTTGATTTGATGTTACAGTCATTGATTCCGCAGTTGTCTTCTCATCCTGTCTGCAGGTTGCACATAGGTAAAGGCGTGCAGCTAGAGTGTCGTGGAGAAGGCGACGTATGGATGCGCTGCATGAGCGATCATGCAGTCTTTGTGCAGAGTTACTACCTGGACAGAGAAGCAGGCCGAGCGCCAGGAGATGCGGTGCACAAAATCTACCCAGGGGCCTACATAAAGGTAAAAGCTTTGAACCCACAAATACTGCAGACGTCACAAATGAAAAGCTTAAAGGGGGGGTCATCATCATGTTTTATAAATTATGTACGGGCGGAAATAGTGCAAAATTATGATTAGAATTGACTTTTTGTAGAAAACTAGATTGTGGGCGGTTTGGAATTTAAAGATTTATTTTTAGCTTTTAAAAAGTATAATTTATTTTACAATTAAAGCGTGTTTATTTCATTGTGACGTAGCTATATTTAACATTTTAATAAAAAAAAAAAAAAAAAAATCAAAATAATAAATAAATCACTTTTCAAATTTAACTACATGCCAAATAAATGGATAAATTTAGACATGTTGCTTTCATTTTTGAAATGCCTCTTTTGTGCTGCAGTGTTTAATATTTTAATTGTATATAATTTTATTAAAATTACATGATGTTATTATTATTATTAAATTAAAGATCAAGGAAAAGTCCCAATAATAGACTCTTTAATGCCAGACTCGATGGGCAGTAAATACCTTTGTACACTTGAGAGCTCTGTGTGTATTTTTGCTTCCTGTCACATTAGATTTGCTTGATCCAGAGCTTCATTTTTTTCAAGCCTGTCCAGATGACTTCTCATCAGCCATTGTTTTAGGACACGGCAGCGAGGTCTGTTCCTCAATGCTGTGCTGAAAGCAGAAAGAGTTATTGTGTTTTGTTCCTGCAGGTCTTTGACCTCAGGCAGTGCCACAGGCAGATGCAGCAACAGGCGGCCACGGCTCAGGCCGCAGCAGCAGCGCAGGCCGCAGCGGTAGCAGGGAATATTCCAGGACCAGGAAGTGTTGGTGGAATCGCACCTGCAGTCAGTGAGTGTCTGCCTCATTCACTGCAAACCCATGAGGTCAAAATGAGATGTCTGTTAGCTTTGAGGTCATTAGGTAAGGGATAATGTACATCCAGCTGGTTGTTATCGCAAAATAAACCCTGACAGGGTGATCAGGACCCTGCAATTTATTTCGCAGTAATGACTGACTGGATGTACATTATCCCTCTTATTACACAGACACTTGCCACAAGAGTAAATAATCACACGAAATATTGATTTGAGTTGAAATATTTTATTAGCACATTAAACGCAAAGCTTCTGCTCAGAAAAACAGTTGCTAGCTGCAGCTTTGAGCCTAGAGGAAAGAAGCCGTTTTAAAATCGTACCTCTTTATTCTATTATAATACCGTAGTAGGCCTAATATTGGAGGCCTACTATTAATACTGAAGTCCTATTATTTTACAGTTAATATAGTCGATTACTGATACGCAAGATGCACCAGCTGCATTTGAATGAAATGAGAAGAGAGAGTGTAATACAAGAGACATGAAAGAATCACCGGCCTCAAATAACTGGATGACTGTCATTATACAGCAATGCTATTGTATTGACCACGGCAGAGATTGTCTTATTATCCACCTTATTTTTTCAATGTCGGAACTAAGCTATTTTCTGTGAATGTGCGATACTTCCGATTCATTAGCCGCTATATTTTATAAATTACGAGAAGAATAACAAAGTGCAGTAAATGGTAAAACTGTTTGCGCTACAAAACAGCATCTTTATAATTAAGCAACTACATTAAAATAATAGGGTAAGAAATACCAGTTTGCAATATCAAGCACCATAACAATCTTTTTTGTACATCTAAAAATAACTGGAAGCGGATGATACCGGAAGCCAGACACATTAAATTTACAAATGGGCGCTCCCGCTCTTCCCTAAAATATAAGGTGGATATTGAGATGAGAGGGTCTGTATCTCTTACCATTGGACAAAGCTTAACGGCTAACTTGGATCATGTGGGGCACCTCAGCCTATCGTGTAATGGCAGTGACGTCAGTGCCCGCCGTTCAAAGTGTTATGACAGTCAGTTACAGTTTACGTTAATCAGTTTCTTGTGGGTTATTAGCGTGTTGGTCTTGTGAATAAATGTTCTATATTTGGTGTTATATCGCTAGTAAACATACAGTAGGATTGCATTGTTTGTGGAATGTGCTTTACTGCGTTTTTTTTAATGGTGTCAATGGAGGAGGGGCTTCAGTATATACTACTTTTGTGAGGAAATAGCTTTTTACTTAATGAATTGTAAAGCTTGTTGAATTGTTAAAGATTAGCTTGTCTGCTAATCTTTAACATGTTGGTCATTAAACATTCGTTTTGGATTGATCCGTTTTAAGAGTTTACAACGAAAAAATTGCTGTTTTATGAGAGAAGAAATTCAATGAGGTCAAAGCTGTAATGTGATTGGTTATCAAGTCACAAGTGATCCAAGTTGGCCATTACGCTTTACATTTACATTTATACATTTATGCATTTGGCAGATGCTTTTATCCAAGTACACATTTACATTCTTATCAGTTCTTGGTTTACCTGCTTTCTCCAACGGTAGAGCAGCGGACCATCGTATCTCCCAATAATAAGACCATCTCTGTTATAAATGCATCTAACTTACTGTTTCAACAGGAAATAAGTCAACATAGTATAGAAAACCGCTTTTAATGGGGGTATTATTCGATAGTTTTTGAATTTGCACTGATTCTACAAAAACTTTGAGTGGTTGGTGAATTTACGAATGTTTATTTCCAGGCCTCTCAGCGGCAGCAGGGATTGGTGTGGATGACCTCAGGAGGTTGTGCATCCTGCGCCTGAGCTTCGTGAAGGGCTGGGGGCCTGATTACCCCCGGCAGAGCATCAAGCACACCCCCTGCTGGGTGGAGGTGCATTTGCACCGGGCACTGCAGCTGCTGGATGAGGTGCTGCACACTATGCCACTGGCAGACCCTGGACCAGCTAACTGAGAGGGAACAATACACACAGAAAACACTCACAACACAGATACTGGACTCACTACAGTAAGCGTGCAAGCCACATTACGTGCTACAGTGTGGTTTGCTCTTTTATCAGTCATTAGAATCCCAATGAAAACAACACAGAAATTCACTACTCTAAAATTCATGTTTTTGAAAGATATTTCAGTGCATTTTATTGTTCTATAGTGAAATGTTGCATTTATTTTCGGGTGAATCTCACAAAAACATGTCTAGGTCATATTTCATTCAAATATAAAAAATATATATTTTGTTTAAAGGGTTAATTTTTTTTTATTTCTGTCATTAATTACTCACCCTTATGTCGTTCCAAACCCCTAAGACCTTCGTTCATCTTCGTAACACAAATTAAGATATTTTTGATAAAATCGGAGAGCTTTCTGAACCAGCCATAGGTAGCAATGTCATTGCAACTTTTAAGGCCCAGAAAGGTAATAAAGACATTGTTAAAATAGTCCACGTGACTGAATGTTATGAAGCAAACAAAAACTACTTTATTCAACAATTTCTTCTCGTCTGCGTCAGTCTTGAATACAGTGCAGCGCTTCCAGGTTCTACGCCAGAACGCCGGCTCAGTATTGAAGATGAATGTCTTACGGGTTTGGAACGATATGAGGGTGAGTAATTAATGACAGAATGTTTCATTTTTGGGTGAACTAACCCTATAAAGAGAATGAAGCCTGTTTTCATGATTTTTATTATTATTGTGACATTATTTTTAATTAATTAACCATTTCCCCCAAAATTTACATTATTGAAATGTTTCCAGATGTTTTATTTTTTAGTTTATGCAATGGTGATTCTGATGAGAGTACTGCATTTTTTATTTATTTAAAAAAAACTGATGCAGTGATCCTGTTTTATTAAAATCATCATAAATTAAAGGCAGTCCAACAATATACTACAATGATGTACAAGTACTTCATTTAAATATATATACGTATATATGTGTGTGTGTGTATATATATATATATATATATATATGATTTTTTTTTTTAATAACTTGTAATGAGAATTAGAGGGGAAATGCTTGAAATAATGTTGTAATGACAAAATCTAAAATAAGCAGAGGTGTAAAGTCCAGGTTCAGAAAGTAAAAGTCATCCTCAGTATTTTGTTCCAATCACCTGGATTTGCTAATTAGCACAGTTTTTCAGCCAGGAGAACTAATTAGTGAAATCAGCTGGCTGAATGATAAACATATGGCAGGACTTTTACTTTCTGACCCCTGGACTTTACACAAATACTATATCTTTTTCTATTACTTTCTCTTGACTTTATGGTGAAATATGATCTGAACATGTTCTTGATGGGATTTGTGAGATTTATCCATTCAAATTAGATGTACATACCTTAGCGCTACAGGTCTACTAATGAATGCAAGTTTACACAGGGTTGATTGCAGATTAAGTTCAGGGAAATAGCTTTATTGTTCATATGCCTTTCTAGCTTTGCACATCATGCAGTTATACTAAGAATATTAGAGCCTAATAGTTTTGCAATACCGGTATAAAATGCTTACAATCTGTCCTTGCAAGAAATTCATTTATAGGTCAGTGTCTGAACATAAAACAAAGCACGAAAAACTGCTGTTTTTGCAATGGCCTTGGTTCCGGAAGTATTTTTCCATTCACTTACTCCATAAAGAGTTCTGATCCTTGAACCAAACCAAATAGCTACAAGATGGAACATTACAAAAAAACAAACAAATGCATTGTGAATTTAAATCAGCTTGCATACTATATATTTGAAGTTTGTTCTAAAATATTTGTAAAATAAATGTTCAATTACTTACTATATTGAGAGTGCAGCAAGATTGACTCGAATCTTTGTGAAGAAAATGAATGGTATTTTTACTTGCGGAACATTGTGTTGTGCTCTACTAGACTCTGGTATCACACAAACACACACACACACATACACACACACACAACACGACACAAGTGAGGAAGAGACTGTTCAACCTCCAACCAAGTTTATTGCATAAAAACTCAGAATATCTTGAGATCCACGGGTTTGGTAGCACTAAATGCCTCAGAGCAAATGTATATCGCTAGTATGTTGGCGCTGGTCACTTCAGGAACTGTTCGAAAGGACCAGCTGATGTAGATGCAAACCTGCCTCTGGGAGACAAACTGTACCAGACAGATAACAGGACAAACTGTCAAAACAAAACGCTCCTCATCTCTGTGCTTGTGCTGTGTTCCTCTACATGTGGACCTCAACTTAGCTATTACGCGGCTTACTATCCAGGCATCTTATTAGTTAGACTTGCAATAGCCTTCCAACTCCTTTATTTTCATACCAAAAAAAACATAAAAATAATAAGAAAAAAAAAAAAAAACAAGCCTGAATTGTTCAGCTTTAAAATGGTGGTATTAGTATTGTGACGCAGTTCGGTGTTTGTAACCAAATCATTTGCCATGTGGTGTAACTCACCAAAGCCAGAATACCTCATGATAATCAAGCATGAACCCAGTGGATTTTTCTTTATGCCAAAATGTGTCTGGAATCTTTCCGGACGTCATGCTCACCTCATACTTTAACCAAATCAAAACAAGGCGTGTCTTGAACCGAATGTAGAGCCTTGATGCACCGACTGACCGATTTCAAACAACAGGTTTTTGCCAACACCAGTTGCTCAGCTTTAGCATTTATCTCGCCCAGCAACTCTTGTCTCGATTGGGAGCGAAATTCCGTCAGTCAGCCCCATACCACTATAACCTTTTGCAAACGGGTAGAACATCGAAACTTCGAGCATTAAATATTATTGTTTTGCTTTGTTTGAAATGTCTATATTTTACTGTACACTTGCAGGAAATTATGCATTTATTAAAAGACCCTTTTTATTAGTTTACTTAGTATGTGCATCCAATACAAATGCAAATCTAATAATAAAAGTGGAACCTCATTATAGTATGTTAAAGTCAACATGAAATTACATTTTTTTTAAATTCTCTTACATAAGTATTGCGTTTCTCCAAGAAACTTTGTGTTCACTCACAAAAACACTGAAGAATAGATTTTCCTCCAACATCGTATTAATTCCATCCCAAAAGTTTTGTGAGCGAATGCCAAAGCATTTGAAATCTAATTTTTATTTTATTTTACCATAACCATGTCTCTTTAGGGGCTCTGTAGGTTTTACTGTATTTTTGATCACATAAATGCAGTCTTGGTGAGCATAAGAGACTTTTGCAACCCCCACTTATTACAGTATTACAGTATTTGGCTGGGAAATATGTTCCGTTACAGAAGAAAATGGGTTGCGAATGCCATTTCATGTTGACTTTAATCAGATCCTCATTATTTTTAGTGCTTGACAAGTGTTAGCTGTGGTTAATGACAACTTAAGAGAAACGATTTAGTAGAGGATTGTATGATGTTCTGCGTTCCCAGTAAAGTAATAATCTTTGTGCCTTTCCCTTTGTGCTCCTTTGTTCGTCGATAGATTTTGAAATAACTAAAAAGCCCATCCCAGTTATCCTCACATTGATTATAAACTTAGCAAACCTTCTATTGGTCTGAAATATTCCAGTAGTTTTAAGCAATGAATTACGTCAGGGATGTTTTAGTCGTCTTAGTCATAGAGTGTTTTTTCGGGTTTCGTTTTGACCCTATTTGACGTTTGTAAATTGGGCGATGCAAATTCTACATCTGCAGGATTGATCACATCGGCTCAGGTCACGTTAAGAATTATGAGCCTTTCGGGAAATTTATTGTAAAGCATAATGCCTTGTTTTCTTTCTTTTTCTTGAACGTCAGTTGCTATAAAACACGTTAGATGTCAGGTACACTCATTGTTTTTCGATGAGTGCCTTTGTGCTGTATTTCAATGGATACGTGTTCCATATACATACACTGCAGATTAAAGGCTAATTACAGTAAAGCTGTAGTTTTAATGCAAATTTCAAAGGCACTTTGGAATGTACGCAATCAGTGTTGACTTATCTTTAAACCGGTATGCTATCTTGAGGTCATTTTGGGTGAAAAAGATTTAAGCTCTCGCATTACACATCCGATTAACACGATAACATATTTGTTGTATTTAAAGATAGAAACATTTATAAAAATAGACTTAGACAAGTATCTAAATGTCATTAGCAATTTCAGTGCATAGCTTGATTAGAATTACAGGTATGATCCGAAGCATTTTGTTGGTTTAAAGAGTTTGCCAAAAAATATCAACAGTGTTGGGTACGTTACTCTAAAAAAAGTAATTAAGCTACTAATTACATCTTCAACAGTGTAATTAGATTACTGTACTAATTACTCTTTCCCCCAAAAAATATCGTATTACTAATTACTTTTTACTAATTACTTTCTAAATCCCATATCAACCTCAACCAGTTGAATAAAACAAGGAGACATGAAACATCTCTTTTAAATAAATATAAAACTGCATAAATTATTCTTGAACTGACTGAAATATTTAAAGAGAGAAGGTTACATTTTAACATCAGATGTTACATTTTATTTATATATAGAATTGTTACATAGTCTATACAGTATTTAATGCAATTAAATCAGAAGTAACTGATTAAATTACAGACACATTAAGAGTAATTCATTACTTTACTTTTTAAAGGGAAAAAAGTAATTAAATTACAGTAATTAATTACACTGTAAAAAGTTATCCGTCGACTTAACTTAAAAAAAGTGAGGAAACCCATTGCCTTAATTATTAAGTTTATAAACTTCATGCGTAATTGAAAAAAAATATTTATGTGGAATTGTCAAGTTCACAATTAAGCATGAAGTGTATTTACTTAATCATTTGAAGGCAACGGGTTTCCTCACTTTAAGTAAGTCAACTGATCACTTTTTACGGTGTACTAATGTATTACACCCAACACTGAATATCACATGGTCCTCAGTAATTGGATGGTTATTTTGCCTTAAAAACAGAAAATATGTTACAATCGACCTCAAAGGTCATCGTGACATAGACGTGCAGTTACTATTGTCATTGAAGAGTAACTTCAAATTACTTCTCTTTCATTAGCTACTGTGTTCTGGTCTGTAATTTAGATTTTCTTTCACTGTATCAAAGTTTTAGAAAATATTTTTGTTCAAGTCCAAATGATGCCCCCCCCCCCCCCCCCCCCCCCTCTCAAAAATATGTGGCCTAGTCCCTTGTAACACTTTAACTTCTAGAATTTGTGTGTTTTCACTGATGGGCATACTGTATTGTGTAAGGTTACTACATGATGAAGCCAACATGTATGTCAGTAACATGACAATCACCCAACTGGAAGTCAATCAACAGCATTCCATATGAAACCTATTTCTTACAAGTATTTATCAGTATGTTATCCAGTGTGAATATATTTGAATTGACTATTTTATTGATATTGTCATTTCAATTATTGTTGTTATTATAATTATTCTATTGTTAAAGGACATTCTGCTCCTGTATGTTGACTGTACACCAAAGTAAAAAAAAAATCTTTTGATACATATATGTTTTGAGTTGTATTTCTTTGTGACATGTAGTCAAATTATGCCTATACAGGAGTCTGCAGTTATATCATCAAGGTTATGAAGTCATGGAAAACTGGAAAATATCAGACGATTTTAAAATAGTGCTTCATGGGCCTTGAAATAATAGAATCTTGAGTCATGTAATTCTATGCAAATGCAGTCTCCATAAAATGAGTTAAAAATACTTATCTAGTAGTAATTACAAACAACTAAAAATTAATGAATTAGTGAAAAGGTTAATATTCAAATCAATATCAAATTAATATTTAATTTTATACAATAGAATAATTAGAATATACTTATAATTTTAATATAAAAAACACAAATACTATATAATTAATATTTAATTTAAAAAAAATTAATACAATTGTGTAATGTATATAATAATAGGCTATAATGTTCGAATAAAATATACAGTGCAACACTTCAGGTTCATAGTGTTGTCTGTTTTTTGCACTGTAGGGGACGCTGAAGGGCTTGTATTTAAATAAAAGTTCAGTCGGCGCTGCAGAGCCAAATTACGTCCAGCTCCCACTCTCTGGACGTCATGGGTGAAGCTTGACCTAGCCCAGCTCCATCTCTATTGATTTAATGGATGGAGTGGAGGGATATGGTTATGTGTAGGGTTAGGGTGTGGTTGGACCTTCTAGCTCCACACATTACGCCCAGATTACATTCTAAGAGGGGGAGCTGGACGTCACGCTCCACCCATTGGCTCTGCAGTGAACAGCCTCTCCATCACACTCGCATCTGGAGCGGGGGAGGAGGAGGAGGCAGGCGCGTCACCGAGCGCATCTTTGAGGAGCGCGCAGGCACAGAAGAAAACATCCTACAGCTCGGCCACCCATTCAGCTGGAGGATCGGCCTGAAGAAATTCATGGAAATAAAATAGATTTTCATTCCCTTTGCTTTTTATTTTTTGTTTTCTGATCACAGCCAAGACAATGGACTTCAAAATGGCCGAGATTACTAATTTAAAACCAACCTATGGTAAGTGAATGGGTCTATCTATATTTACGTAGGCCTAATGATGGGCTTTTACTGAATCTGTAGGCTATAGTATACGCTATTGAAACTGCGATGGTGTTACTAGGCTAAATGATTCGACAGAAGTATAATTTGGTTTTTAATTTACTTCGGAGTCCGATTTTACATTTATGTTTTATTTTAAATAGCTTACATATTCTGAGCAATGTTTTCTGGGTAGTAGAGCTATTATGTTTATTTAGTGTAGCCTATAGCCTGTTTTACCACTTTATATTATCTATAGTGAGTTAGGGCAAGTTATTTTGGTAATAACTGATAATAAAATAAATAGGCTACTGAAATTCTTCATTTTCATCAATCAAGTGTAAAGTGCAGCACCGGAAATAGGCTACGCACATGAAGACGTGATTCACCTGAGACAGGTTAAGTGTGTTTGTGTAGGCTACACACACATGCTGCGTCATGTGATGGTTTATTTCAGTTGAATAAGTCTCAAAGTAACAATACATTTAGACCTACTTATTTAAGGAAAGGCGCGTTTGATAAACTAAACTCTCGCATCCCTGAAGACACTGCGTGTATGACGTCATGTCTGTTCACTGCGCGAGGCGTCAGCTGGATCAGTTTGTGCCCTTACCTCAAAACATCATGTATAATAGCTAGGCTATATTTATAATGATATTTAATACAATCTGTATTGCGATTAGGCCTACATGTTTTCAGAAGGGATGGTAACCACAGTCAAATTACAGTTAACATATATATTACTTGCCTATTCCTGTTATGAATGTAATGAACACATGATGATATCATATATTACTATTTAAAGGTCTAGTATGTATATACGGGCCCTGTTTTAGGCTAATATATTAAAATTGTGGTGATTATTGGCTGTGTTATATAAGACATATTATAAGACATTATAAATATCTGTATAATGCACATTTGTATAAGCTTCAAGGCTAGTAGCCTACATGCTATTCCCATTATTATAAATATCAAATTTGTGACATGCCAAAAATAAATAATGCCCACATTTTATTTGTCATCACAGTATCATTATTGGTCCTATTTTTTATACCAAGGAGCATAGGCTATATGATTTTAACAGGATTGAATAGGTATGATATGAGTCTTAACCGTCAAAAACGCCACTCATTTTTGAATAGCAAAAATGAATATTAAAATCTTCTGTCTATTTTATAAATAGTTGTTGTTACTTGCCCTGGTAGCCCAACTCACTAAAATATTTACAATTATTTTAAAAAAGATCAATAATGAACATACTGTCCAGAAAATACTGCTCAGAATATTTAGTGAAAAATAAACCACGCTCCCATTAATCTTCAAAATTACATTTTAAGTTGTTCAATGGTTTTAAAATCATTAACCGTCAGATTTATCAGCCATTAGTCTTTAGGGGGATTATATCACACGCTGGGGGAGGTGGACAGTTTTGACGCGTTTCCTGGTGAATGCGTGTGTGATGTAGTTTGGGTCAAGTATTTTAGGAACACGTCTGAGGCATCTTGGATCACAACCCACCTCGTGGGAGTTGCCTGGAGACAGAATCAGCAGCAAGATGTGTGCTCGAGAAGAAAATAACCAGGACTAGTCCAGCCAGATAAACACAGATTTAGGGTTTCTGAAGCCATGAAGGAAATAAAACCCTTTACTCCTTCTGTATTACAAGTTTCCAGTGATTTGTCTGTCCTCTCTTTAAGAGAAAAGTCTATATGATGTGACAGGGCAATAGAAAATCAGAACGTGTTGTATGTGTGTGTGTGCATGTACGGCTGTGAAGTGGGATTTTGGACAGATGAGATTAGATGGTGGGTGAGGCTATCAAACACAACACCACAGAAATAGACACAAAGCCACTAAAACATGTATTGTTGCTTGGAAATCCTGCTGATTACCTTTATGGGAAAGAAATGTGCATAATTGTATTGAATGTACACTTGTACTTTAAATCTTAAAAGTACACTTGCTGATATATTAATGAAATAAAAGACCATGTAAATACTTAAAGAGAGTTCACTTTTATGACTATGATTTAAAAAATGCACTTTGTATTAATGTCAAATTATGAGCTTTACTTTAAAGTACATTTTAAATCATTATGTTTTAATGATCTTTTATCATGCTTTAAAGAAGTGCACTTATTTGATTTGTTGACTAAAGCACATGTAAAGTCCTTAATTATAGCCTAATTTTAACTGTATTGTGTGATTCGACATTATTTTAAAGTTAATATAATTTAATTTACTTTATCATTACATATAGATTTAAATAGATGACATACTATTATGCAATTAAGTGTTGGAAACATTAGGCTACATTCAGTTCACACTTAATTAGATTCTTTAAAAGTAGCCTATATTAATAAGTACTTTTAAAAAGTATGGTAGCTTTATATAGATTGCTGATATATGACATCAAACAAGCTTGTATCACTGTGTCTTAATCAGGTCCGACATGATAAATTGACAAGCAATAACAGATATCGATGCCACAAACTACCAGATATATATGCTTTCTAGTTTCACTGGGTAGCTTCGCCCCACATTGGAATATCATTGGTCCAAATCCCATCCTACATAACTGTATATTACACTGCAACTACTGTATGTTCTGATTTTGTTGCTTCATATAGCATTGTTGGTTTCAGTGTGAAAAGACAAATCACCTGCTAGCAGGGTGTACATGATTGAAAATAGTGAAACAAGAAACTGCATGGTTTCTGAATTCAAACTGAATTCTGTCAGATTAAGGCTGTATCAATATTAATCAAATGTCAAGTCCTCTCAGATAATAACATTGCCTTCATTGATTAGGCAGAGAGTCGAATGACCTTGCAGGACATTATTTTAATGGGCAAAATAGAATCAAGAAAGTGCTTTCAGGGAGGAAGGTGACCAGGTCAAGCCTCAAACGTTAATAGCATCTCTCTTTTGCTTGTTTTATGGATATTCACAGTCTAGTTGGGATTATTAATATTGGCAGCAAAAGTACATAGAGTGACGTCAAGTTACTTGAATGAGTCTGATTAAAAATGATATAATTTTACTGGTAGCATAACATTCAGAAATGATTATCTCAGTAGTGTGCATTTTATTATACACTGTAACACTGTTGGTTTAAAAAAGTGAAACCCTTAAATGTAGGTTTTTTTTGAGTGTCTATCCTAATGTTTTTAGGTTGATTCTGTGGTAATATTTTTTGCCTTGCATCAAATTAAATATATTATTAAATTGTGTGATAATTATGACATTATTAAATATATAAATAATTTTTTTTGATGTTACCACATGAAGCACATTTTTAGGTTAACATTTTTTTAGACAGATTTCAGTAGAGAGTGTTGCAGAATTTCTTATGTGCTCAGACCCAGTCATGTGTGTGTGTAATGGAGATGTATTTTATTTTATTTTGAAAATATGCGAATTTTCATTTGATTAATTTTGGACTGTTGTAGCAATTAAAACGAATCATGTTCCAACTCTTTTTACTGCAAACTGTGCAAAGTCAAAAAAATCATTAATAATTCAATTCGAGAGTTGTTTTTGAAGACCAAGAGGCTTTGAAGTGATGTTCTAGCCTTGACTATATTTGATCTCAGCTTATCACACATATCTGGTATCTAAGTGTATATGTCTTGTTCTCCCTTTTTCTCTCTCCTGTGTGTGTAGAGGGTGTGTAAAGCTGCAGTGATTGAACAATGGGTTGATTTATGCGTGTGACTGGTGTCAGAGTGACAAGTCTTCTCTGTCCCTGCTGAAATCCAGCACACAGTGTCTCTACAACACGGCTGCTGGTGATACTCATTTTCACCCTGCTGGTACTGCCATACTACCACTGACAGCAGATATAGAGAGGGAACCGTCTTGATATGGCAGCTAACTAAACCTCTTCGTGATCCTGTAGAACGGATAGCAAAACTGTGGGTGGCGTATAAGCGTAAACAAAAGAAAGGGTGAAAACTGAGAATCTGGCAGTGCTGAGCATCATTATTCACACCTGTCCGCTTCGTGACCAGCACATCCTTTTTTCGTAACCTCATCATTTTCCTATCCTGCTTTCTCTTAATTTCTACTCATCATAAACCCCACCCTGCTGTAAAGCTCAGTGATGACTACAGACAATGGGATCAATTCTCATTTGTGGGCAATTTTGTCCAGCTTATTAATCATGTGGGCTCACACGCAAACACACTTATATTCAGCACACACAGTTGTGTGTACTTGTACAACTGACGCACATAATGGAGTGTGTCATAATCAGTCGTGTGTTTGGCGCAGGTAATGTATTGGTTTTTTGAAAAATGAGCCGCGCTGACGTACACTTTATATCTGTTGAGATAAGAGCCACACATTTTCGAGCGTTTAAAAAAAATGTCAGATTTAAAATTCTAATTTAATGTGGGGGAAAATACACCTATTTCAATTTTCTTTTTTTTAAAGAGATGTTTATCTGTGAAAAAGTTGCCATCACTATGCTATGTGGTTGCTAAGGTGTTCTGAGTCCATTTAGCATGTTGCTAAGTAGTTGCTAGGGTGTTCTGGGTGGTTGCCAGGGGGTTGTTATGTTTAGAGTTATTTTAGTCTTTTACTGAGTGGTGGTTAGGGTGTTTGAGGTCATGTCCGGTCTTCGACCACCCAGAAGACCAGATATTCTAGCTTGTAGAACCTTATGAAAAGAAAGCACACTTTAGCATATATTTAAAAAGAGTATTTATTATGGAAATAAAATGTTTACAGGGCGGTTTACATGACACCGTTTTCACCTAAAAATGTAAAACCTTTTATGCGGTTTGGCCGTTCATTTACACGGCAATGCTGTTTGGGGGGCCCGAAAATAAACTTTGAAATTGGGTTTCAACGTCAAGTTTTTGAAAACAATATCGTTATTGTCTCTGTGTAATCTACAAAAATGTGAATTTGTGAAATCAGTGAAGTCATGTGCATGTGTATTATGTGTTCAGTCTAGTTTATTTTCAAAAT